TGAAAAAATTGTTAAGTTACAAACTGATATTTTAACTTGTAATATGTCGATTAACTTGTCTGCGTATCTCTTACCTCGGGAACCAAAGTCCTCGTAGTTCTCTTGCTATAATTACCTGATAAAAGTAGATGCCATGCAGGACTGAACAGACTGTTTAGTCCTCATAGTCGTATGTGTCGTAGTCCTCTTCATTTCCAGCGGTTCCACTAGTATCTAGCAGTAAAATCAGATGCATCATCATCTTCGTCATCTTCGACAGTTAGCATGGCCTTTTGTGCCCTCATTTCGGCCTTCTTCCAGTCACCACTTAGCATCATTTGAGTCTCCAGGTTTTGTAACTTCAATCTCGACCGTCGTGCATTCAGTATATATCCTTCCTCGTTGAATGCTTGTTCAATCGCCATTGTTGATGCAGGGACAACGAAAATCTCCTTGGCCGTCAGGCATGGAATTGGATAAATGAGAGTCAGCTTTGACCACCAATCCAAGACGATGAATTTTTGTGGCGGAATTGGTTCACGAACAATCATAAGTGTCAAATTCGACTTGAGGTAGTGATCGAGCTCACTGTATCCAGTCCCCTTGGATGTTAGAATCTTTGTAGGGATTAACGCCATCCCACCAGTCATCAAAATTTTGGGTTTGTTACACTATCTGTCCCCATTTCCCATAAGAAGAAGACCTGGAAGTAGTTGAAGAAAATTACGATGGATTATCTCTGAGTTCGATTATTGTTTCTCTAAACAAGTAATATAATGTTTGGCTTGTTCGACGAGTTACCGTGGGTTAGTTCTTACACTGATAGTCGAGATATCAGTGTAACTGGGAAGTGGGAGTTAATACATAATACCATAATATGGGTTAAGTTTATTGAGCAAGTCATTTTCACGTAATGGCGGATCTAACAAATTGTAACTAAAAATGCATCGGGAAAGAAAAAATAATATTTTAACCATTTTTAAACATATTTATTGCAAGTTCGCGATGTAAGTCAGGATCACTAGTAAAAATATCTCTAAAACCCCACATTACAACTACACATTGACTTACAACTAGTGTGTACCCCGTGCGATGCACGGGAACAATATTAAATTAACAATATTATGAATAGACCTTGAGTTTGAGTCACTCAATAGCGGAAGTGGAAACTACTATTGATCCTATTTAAAAAGAGGAAGAAAAAATAATAATTATAAATTAAAGAAGAGGATAAACAATACTTAATAATTATAAATTAAAGATTCGGGGTCAAACAATGTAAAATTATTATGTATAAGAGAATATAAAAAAAAATTGATTACACATCATTTCAAAATCATTATTATACTTTTTTGTATGATTAGCTTATAATATTTGTAAAAATATTAGTAATTAGACCGATGAAAATTAGCTTCTTAAAGTAGATAATGGATTTCTAGTAGTAATTATGAATTAGTTTCTGTTTTATTTTATTTTTTATTTTTAAAGATAATGGATTTCTAGTAGTAATTATGAATTGGTTTCTATTTTATTTTATTTTTTCAAATCTGTATAGATAAGGGATGAGATTTTTTAAACACGTGATGCAATGGGATTTTGTAACAGAAGAGATAAGCTCGTGTAGATTTATACTAAAAATAAGAAAAATTAAAACAAATATTTATTGTCGAACAACGGTTTTGATAAATTTTTAAAAAATAGGAAAAAGAGAAGCAAATCTTTCCACAATTATTGAGCCAATTTATTTGCCTATTCAGATTTGTCCAACAATTACTATATATAGGATATATTTAATGATTTTGGCGGGAAAATGTTTCTAAATTTGTAAAAAGGTTATTCTTTTTATATAATGATAGATAAGTTGAGCAGTAAAATAGTAAACACCGGAAAATACGTTAGTAACATCTTGAAAATTTTCTAAATATTGCATAAGAGTGTGGCAATTTACCCAATCTTAGGTGGTAACGTTGACATCTCAATCATCCTTACGTTGAGGACTAAGAAAAATTCCTCAGAAAATTAATATATTTTCATTAACATTTTATAAGTTGAGTTCCAACGAGTAGGACGTCCGGTTGGAATTTTTTAGGTGTAAAACCTAGCTCTTTACAATACTTTCC